CTCCCTCCCTCCCCCCCTCCCTCCCTCCCCTCCCTCCCTCCCTCCCTCCCTCCCTCCCTCCCTCGAACCTGCGCTGATCCTCACTCTTGCACATCCTGATGTCCGAGGGAGCTCACTGTCTGCAGCCGTCGCAGGACTTGGATACCGCTCGATGCAAAATCGATCATAAACAAATTGTTAAACTGCAGGGTTTTGATATCAAAAAATAATAGATTCTATATCATATATATATATTTCTTTTGCTGTGATCATCGGAGCATTGCGGACGTGGAGCGAAAGCCAACATCTGCAGCAAATCGCACTCTGTCCCAGCACATGAGAAGGAGAAACCTCCCAGTTGCAGGAGGAAGAAACAAGTGAATCAATGAGTGGAAGAGGGCCCCCTGTAGCGGGTCTCTACAGCGTCCCTCCTGCTTGAAAGGAGAGCAGAGCGAGAACACTGTCCTGCCAGTTTTCCGTCAGGCGACACAGGTCTTGCCAATCGAGTGACGCATGGAGCCATGTCCAAGGACAACTGCTCGTGAGTGCCCTTGTGACCATGCGATGTTAGGGTGTGAAGGATTGGGCCCTCAGGAACACATTTCGAAAGATGACATGAGCAGGATGACGGAACTTTCTCGAGCAGAATCAACCAGATCCAGAAAGCGGTGGCACGTCTCGAATATCAGGCTTCAGTTGGTTTCATGCTGAATCCTGCACGACGCTGAAGACTAAGATGTTGACGTACTGCAGCGTAGCACCGAAGCATCATCTTTCCTGTGGCACCTCAGCGGGCTCCTCAGAGCCGAGGCCCTGAAAGCTCCTGGTCCTGGCAAGTACATGGGCCACGAGGCCTCGAGTCAGCGCAGCGGGCAGCGGTGCTGTCTGGTGGTCGCAGGACTGGAGGCTGAATGGTGGCAGCAGGTTTGCCAAGAAGGACCCCACACACTGGCACTCTCCCACCGTCTTGGAGTCACCGCAGCGGCCCCCTTGTGAAGAGGAGCGTGGGTACAAGCCGATGCACAAGAATCCAGATCCGACAACGTACGAGCGCAAGGCCTGCACAATCCTGCGCGTCCACGAACATGTATGTGGAGTGATGCTGTGTCAGGACTTCTTTCAGTTCCCGAGCAACCGCAGCAAGGACAGGGAATGGGCAGGGCCAGATGTGTGATATCCAATGGCATCTACATGTGGCATCCATGAGCCGGCGTGGGAATGCCAGATCGTGTCCAGGACTGTTTGTCTCAGAACCGCCGCGTAGTCTTTGGCCGAGTTCCTAAAGGCGGACCGGTGCACTAGTGGCATAGATCGCCGAGTCACTGCCATTGCCGAACCCTCGAGGGAACCGGCGGTCGTTCTTGGATGGGGCAATGCGCCATGGGAAGGAGGCGGAGCGTTCGCTTCCGTGTGCGGTGCGGTGCACAGGCTTTCAGAATTGAAAGCTCGTGATGGCAGGTGCCAGCGCCCGGACACTACACAAACAAGCAAGTGTGTTCCAACCGCCTCTTGCCTCCTAATTTAAATGCAAGTTCTTGTGGCTGCATGCAAGCTGCTGGCTCTGCAAACATCTGCAAACACTGCCAGTGAATCCCGCTGTGCTGTTGTGCTCTTCACTCGCTGCACCGAGGTCTGAATACCAATCCATGCGGTGTCACTAGCTGGAAAGTGGAAGAAGCCGCCGCTGGCAAAGTAGCACCCGACAAAACACTCGTCGAGGCCTCATTATGAAGGTCATGAGGTACCGTAGAAAAGTGCCACCAGTAGTGCTCTGCGGTGCTACTGCTTTAAATCGCAGGCCCTTTGTGAAAGCCCATGTCCAAGGCACCCAACCACTACACCATCAACTACAACCAGGCAGCATGCATCTAGTTCCAACGGTTTTTAGGTGCAAGCTGAAGCTGGCTGCGCTGCGCAGGTGACAGACAAGCAGTCGGTCTATACCGTCCCTAAGGAAAAGGCCTCCAACTTCCTGGACAAGGTCACTTGAAGCACATCTTAGGTGAATTTCCGACGCTTGCCGCGGCTCGCAGGTCGTGAAAGAGAAGTGGATCGACGTAAGGACAAAGAGAGCGGCTTGGTCTTAAGAAAGTCTAGAATGGCACGAAGGACGCGTGTCGGGTGCATGATCAAGGAAATGCCTGGTCCCGGCACCTACAAAATCTTTGACAGTGAAGCGATAGACAAGCGCCGGCCTCGGTCCTATGATTTGTGCACGGGTAGTTTCGTCAGAATCTCTTTGATGTCAGGCTCTACGTTTGCACAGCGCTTTTCTTTCCTGTTTCGATCTGTTTCCAGAGCATCCTAGTTCCGAGCCACTGCCGGTGAATTGTGGTAGTCGGCAACCGTACAGTCCGTCCACCCACCCGGTGTGTATTCGTGTGTCTCTGTGTGTGTGTGTGTGTCTGTTCGTTGGTTTGTTTGTTTGTTTGTTCGTTTTTTTGCTTGTTTTCTTTGTTTGTTTGTTGGTTCGTTTGTTTGTTTGTTTGTTTGTTTGTCGGTTCGTTTGTTTGTTTGTTTTTTTGCTTGTTTGTTTTGTTCCCTGCACGTCTGACCAATACAAAGCTTGTGCTGCTCGTTCTGCGACGTGCAATTCTTTGCCTCGCTCCCCATACCCATTTCGTTGTATGCTAAGGACGACAAGAGGAACGTATCAACTTCAACTTCGAACTCTAAGCCGATCGGCCACGAGCTCAAGTGTAAAAGGGTGGTGCCATTTCTTGTCTTCTGCTGCACAGCCATTGCGCAGTGCCAGTAGAGGCAACAACCGGCTACTTCTGAAAGCAAATTCGGCTTCGTCAATGCACACCACATGCGTGCAAAGTACGCTGGGTGGTCTTTGGAGCAAGCAGCTTGGCGATCTTCGGGTCTTAGATTTTTTCCCTGGTCACAAATTACCAGCATCTGGATGCTTCATGAGCGCTTTCGCCACCCTGCCCTCCAATTTGGTCTCAAGTTCAGTTTCACCCGGGTAGACATCATGAGGAGTGCCATGGAAACAAGCACTCCCGCAGGTTGCGCTGCATACGCCATGGTTGCTTGGCCTCTGCTTGTGCACGAGAACCCGAAATCTCGCATGATTGGCTTGGTCCTGCCATGCCTCCTTCAGGAAACTCACCCCAAACGATCAGGTAAAGCTGCACAGGGAGCCACGTCTGCTGGCAAGCCAGGGTTCCCTCAAAGACGAGGGGCATCAAGGGGCGAGGGGGGGGGCACATCCTAGGTGTGGGGTACTGGAGCTTCAGCTGCCGTGCCTTGGGCATTGGGGGCAGTGGCCTTGCCTTGGGCAGAAGTGGCAAATCCCGGGATTGCTGAGTTCTTTTGCAAGAAGACCTTTACCTCAAATCTGCCAGATTCGGCGATACCAGGATCTCTGCGAAAGTCTCGCTTCCTTTCCCAAAGACTCTGCAGGTGCGGCAGCGTGAGAGCCGACAGATCAACACAAGCCGTGATCCAAGAGCCGAAGACTCTTGTCGGGTCGTCTCTGCATTGGCGCACCTCAACACATCGTTGCGTTGCTAGAGGTCTGTTGACTCTTGGACTGGTCATCAAGCGCCTCTCTTCTCAGGTTGGACTGGGCTGCATGTGCATGTGTACTTGTGAGATTGGTGCGTCCAGGATCATGTGGGTATCGAGCCGAGCCCGGGTTCGATTTTGTTTTTGCTTCTCTGCTTGGCAAAGCGAGTCTGGCAGAGCCGCCGCGTTGTGGGTCTCAGGTCATATTCCATGCAGGACCAGGGGGAGTGAATTGATTGCCGCAGCTGCCTCCACAGGCTCTCGATCCTGAAGCTTTCAGGAACAGCAAGCTCACGCACCTGCTGTCCGACTCCTTGACCGGCAACTGCAGGAAGCTTCGCCTTACCAACATGTCTGCTGTTTGAACCCAAGAACGCCCAAGAAACAGGACCGTCATGGTGGCCTGCGTCTCTCCGGCTTCGTCGGTTGTGGTTGGTACCCCGAAACTTCTTGAATGCTGCCAACGCCACAGAGCCTTCACCACTCGCAAAGCTGCCCGCAGCCACTCAGATATCGAACCGTTTCCGTCAAACCGAAAATGTTAGATCAATCCTCAAGGGGGGGGGGCATATGCAGAGTCCAGAAACACATCCCGTGCCACATGGAAGACCGCCGTAGCCGCCGTAGCCGATCGCCGTGAATGGTGCCGGTGCAATGGATCCCGGATTTGTCGGAGGCCCCGCGGAGCAGCTGGTTACAGGGCGTCAAGGTTCGCCAAGCTATGGCTCCATAGATGATGGCGAACAGACGAACACCAACGATTCCAAAGACAGGTCTGAGTATTCCTTTGCTCCCTACATGGCCGAGTTCGTTGGGACCTGCATTCTAGTCTTCACTTTCGGATGCGTTGCCTTGTCACCAGCACCATACTTGTACAAGCCAACAGCCGCGGCGTGTATTGTGACAGTCATGGTTTACTCCACTGCAACGGTCTCTGGAGGTCACCTGAATCCTGCGGTATCATTGACGCTAAGTGCTCTGGGCCTGATACCCTGGCAAAGAATGCTAGGGTTCTGGTTGGTTCAGGTGGCAGCAGGAATGGCGGGAGCAACAGCTTTGCGAGCCCTCCTGGGCATGGACATGGCGCATACCCCTTGGCCTCCGGCTCCTGTCCCACCGAACTTGGGAGCTGCGGTCTTGGCCGAGCTACTTTACACGACTTTGCTGTGCTTTCTGGTCAGCTGCTGCTTGGTGTCCAAGCGGAACAATCCGGAGAAAGACCAGAGCCAGTCCTTCGGACTTGCTATCGGTCTCCTCTACGTTGCAGGAGTTGCCATCCTGATCATTTGACACATGAAACCTGCAGCGTTCAGGGCATAACCTTCCAAGGTTTTGTACTTTGACTTGCTACTGTAGCACATTGCATGGATGCGAGGGTTCTTGCCTTCAGGGATTGTGTCATCTTGCTGCACTTTGTTGACGGAGGCGTGCATCTTCGCCCAAAAAAGTTAGCCAATGCGAGCCTTCGAAGTCACCACGATGCGATCTTTTTCTGTAGAGAGCAGCCAGAGCCTGGCGCATAATCGGATTGACATTTTGAACCGCAGGTGGGCAGCAGCAATGCTGTGCCTGGGTTCTGTTTGTGGCTTTACCTCTATAGCGCTCGCAACGCTGGCTGGGAATTTCAATTCCATCAGTGGATTTGAGATGAAAAATGCCTGCTTTCCCCACAACGCGTGCCCGTCTGGACGCAGCTACCATGCTGAAACAGTCAGTGAGATGGTGTCGAAACCAGACTTTCCCGCGGCAAAGCTCTTCTTCAGCTTCACTCTCATCGGCTCGATTAGTTTACTTCTCTCTCGCTACCCCTGGGAACTGAAAAATGTCTACACTGGTGGAAGTCCGACGCGGCGTCTGCTCACTGCGGCCCGGGCAGTGCTTCCCCCTTGTGGGATGCTTATCGTTGCCACCATCCCTGTAGTTCCCCGCGTTGCAAGACAAAGCACCGCCATCAAGCTGGCCTGCAGTGTGCACTCCTTCGGAGCCACGCTCTATGTTGCTGGTTACAACTTCCTGGAAAGTTGCACTCTCTGGATACTATGGGACAGGCTGGAACATCTTGAGCGCATTCTGCGCACTATCTGTGTGGTGTGTGGTGTTTTAACCACGATCAGTTTTTTCATGTGCGGCACAGTGTACTCGTATGCGCAGGAACTCGGCATTTGCTGTGTGGACCAATGGGAAAACACTACAATCGCGTTTGAGGAAAAATACCACATGGGCAATGAGTCTGCCACAGATAAGGTTGTGGATCTTCTGATACCCAAGGTCTACGGACCTTTCGTCTTGGTTAACTCAGCTGATGGTCTCGCGCTGCTTATCAAAAAGTTTGAGTTCTGGCTGGAAGAGTTGGCTGGCATTTTCGTCGTTGTAAGCCACTTGCTGATCTGGAAGTTCAGCAAAGTGCAGCATTTGGAAGTCCCGGAGTTGTTGGATATTCACAGTGGACCTGAAGCGCCGGGCACCCGCGAAATACGAGTCGCACAAACGTACTGAGCAGCTCTCTGCCGCCTTCTGGATTCCACCCTTCCGGTGCAGGAGATGTCCCAATCTTTGCTGTTGTAGAGCAGGAGGCTGCAAGCGCGCCAAAGTGTAGCGAGTTCGGTCACAGTCACGAGGAAGCGCCTTAAAATTAGCTGCCGGCCAACATCTAGAAAGTCCAGCCTATACCTGGAACTCCTTCATATCTCTGTGAAAGCATGAACATCGATCGCAGGAGGACATGCCCTTGCACCCATATCAGGCAAAGCCGGGGCACGATGTGGGGAGCACGGGAACGGCACTTCGGTCCGGTTGCTTCGGACAAGGTGTTGACTGTCACTCTTGGCTTGTCCGCTGAAATGCGAAAGGTGGGGCAATTCTTAATCCGGCCATAGCGCTGGGCCTGCCCTTCATCAGTCACGGTTCGACCGTGATGTGCCTTGCCTTGATGTAGCTAAAGGCCTTCGCCTCTAGATCACCTGTGTGTCACAGTTCCGAGGTTTGGCATTGCCTACGTCGTGGCAGAGCTGCTTGGCGCCTTGATCGGCGTGCGGCTCTTTGAAATCCTGAGGGCCGGTTCCGAGGACTCCGATCAACAGCCATTTCCGAATATGAAGCCAGAAAACCACATCAGTCGAAGGCCGCTCGTTTCCCAGGATTGTTGCTGCGACATCGAAGAGTACTTGGAAATGTGCGTGCCGCGGTTGTCAGCCCGACTCCTCGGAGAAGGGTGTCTTGGCCTTGAAAGCCTTCAATCCTGTCTACACCCTCGTTTTTCGACCGCTTGCTGTTTGCATTGCCGCAGCTCTTCATCGTTACCACAAGGTTGGGCACCTTTGCTCTTGCCAATCCCTCGGCCGGACATTGACTGCGGCTGATGTTCCTTCTTGTGGCTGTTTCAAAAGGTCTTCACATTCGGGCTGAACGTGATCGGTCAATCGGAGGCTCGCGGATAGTTGCATCTCGCAGACATGTGGCCTGACATTGACAAAGGCAACAGCCTGGTCAGCAGCAGCTGCTCTGATAAGCATGATCTATGCTCTGGGTGCTCCGTCTTGATGGGATGTGAGCAATGAGCTCTTGTCGAGCAGGCAGAAATCTGAGCTGCTCGCCTCTCAGGAAAGATTTCAGGGGGATACTTCAACCCTGCGGTGACTCTGGCAGTGGTGTTGAGCGGACGTGGCTTGGCAACCAATCCCGCATCTCATCCAGAGTTTGGATTTACTTTGGCTCGAGCAGCATACTCCCTGTCCGAGGCAGCAAATGTTCTGTCGGCGATGGATTCGCTTACTGCGGAGCTCAGGCAAACCTTCAGGGTTGATTCGCTAGATGTCTGCTGTGAATCAAACTGGGGCTGACAATACTCCTGCCTCGCGAGAGGCTGTCGGTGCCATCGCCGCGGGTGTCATAGTTGCAGCACCTTGGCCTCGTGCAGTGGGAGAAAGGAACACCAGGTGCAGTTCCAGCTGCTTCCATCTGCCTCCCAGGAGTACCGATTTGCAGCGCCAACGGCCTGGCGACCTGTGACATTGCCTTCCTGGCTTCAGCCTCGCTACGCAAAAAGAGTCGACATACTGTGGCATGTCTACTCTGAGGCAGGAGTATGGGGTGGCCACAGCCTGCTACCTAGCATTCCAGCGCAACGTTCAGCATCAAGCCCAAGATTTTCTGCTCGCAGGTTGGCATCGCAGAAGGTGTTTTCACGCTTGTGACGCCTGCCTGCAGAGACTGGCACTGACATTGACGGCCCATGGCAGAAGTTTGGCCGTTTGGCATGCGAGCCGAGGTTAGCCTATGTTGTCCTCGCGTGCTCCACGGTGACCGTGCTCCCTGCCACTAAGACGCGGCAGAACTTCTACTTTGGCCTGGCGGTGGGTTTCTGTGTCATGACCGGCGGCTGTACCCTTGGCTCCATGTCCGGTGGGATGCTGAATCCGGCTGTCTCTGCAGGGGCCTCCGGACTCTGGACCAGCTGAACTTGGCACTGAAACACTCCTTGCAGAGGTTGGAGTCGTCACGCTGAACTTGTTCCAAGAGCAGAGCGCGCAGGCGAGCTTCGTGACTGTGACTCTGACCGTCGTTTTGTGTCTTTTGCGAGCTAGCGCCAAATGCAAACGGAGAAGTCTCAGAGTCACAAAACTCGTACAAAGATATTCCTGACGTGCAGACGACGCTGGTTGCTAGGCTTGACGCCTCCGAGGCTTTAACGCTCGGCGATGCGTTCAACGTGGCACTGCTTAAGTCAGGCTTCTGCAGAGTGCCTGCCTCTGCAGGCGCGGCACTTGCTCCTGGCTTTCTGCCTCAAGCTGACTGCGTTTCAGTGTACAGGAGGCCGGGTTGAGTGAAACAACTTACTTAACTAAACGCATTCACCAAGAACAGACCTGGCCTATGTTTGAACATATTGAACGGGTTTACTTGAGTACTCAGTCTCTGATGATCTCTGATGTAATGTTTCCAATCAGAAGAGGCTTGCCGCTTGCCTTTTTACAGTGCTTGGCGCGCCATTGCGGACTTTGTCATATTGAATTCACGAGCTACTCTGCCCACTGCCTCCGCAGCTCCAGGGTGATCAAAGTGCTTTCAACTGAGGTCTGCTTGCAGCGGTGGTCTTCCGCCTCACGCACCCGAGCGAATACAGCAAGGACAGACTGACATGGCCCAAAAGCCCAGGGAATCTTCATGCCTGTTCGCTATTTTGCTATACACGTTCACCAGCGTTTCGTTACTGCCAGCATTTGGAGAGAGGGTCTTCAGAAAAGAGAAGCGTGAATTCACGGGGCTTTGTCAATCGAACGGCCGTGACCCTCACTTCGTCCAGCAAATGGCGGTGCATTCACTGAGAGAGCATACGAAGATGCTTGCAAGTATATAGCGACAGAGAAGAGCGAAAGGGAAGAAATGCTAGTCGCCCTCCTGAACCACGCTCGCACGGCGCCGTCGTACTGTTCACGCCACTTTCGGGCTTTCGCATTGAGAGGCCGAAAGATATCAAGGTCTGAAAGCACACCTGCATGTCGCACCAACCTCTGCTCTGCAGGCACCACTTCTGATGCACTGAAGAAGCAGTGCCGAGTAGACGGTTTGGAGGTCTCACCGCCAGTTGACGAACATTGCAGACTTCACAGCTTTGCAGCAAAAGTTGCCCCTGCAATTTCGATCTGCAGTTGTACGCACAAGTCGTCAGCACAATTTGCATGGAACAGCAGTAAGCCGGAGTTGTATTTCGCGTTCAAGTCCCGAGGCTTCGACCGTGCCTTGGCAGAAGCGCCGCATGTCCGACGCAAACATGCGTGGAATGTCGCTGCTGCAGCACTGTTGATGATTGATTCCAAGGAGTCTGCACTGCGTTTTGCCTCGACATGTCGACGAGTCGACACCACAGACATAGCATCTTGCTTCAAACAACCTGTTCCTGACATTGACCGCCCAAGGTCTTCACACATCCTGCGAGAAACGAGGCGTCCGAACCGGTTGGATTGCATGCTGTATCCGAGATGCACATGTTGGAAGGCTTCGCTCCTTGCCGCACTGTTGGTATGTAAATCAAGAGAGTTTCGCTCAAACACTCAATCCTTTGCTGCCTCCCGGAAGCTGTTGGTGCTCTTGTTACTGCATACCGAAATCTATTGTATTGGATCTATCCTGCCAGCGTCATCCAGCGCGTGCAGGAGAGCAAGGACGAGATGGCCACAGCACTCCGCACAGAGCTGGATGAGCCGTGGGCTCAGATCCACTGCAACCGAGCCGCCCCGTGTTGCATCCTTGGTACAAGGCTTGGGAGAGAACTGGGAGCTGCCCAAACTGCGGAAGGGAGGCTGACTGTTGCTCGAGCTCCACAGCTACACTCGTCGTTGCGACAAGGGAGTGTGTTCAACGTTCCTGCCAAGAGTCACCCGACGGACAAACTGGTCTCTGCCCTGCGAGTGCGACCCGTGCCGGGAACTAGCATAGCGAGTCGGTGCACAGGAGGGGAAAAGGGGCTGGCCGAGTCCGGCAGTCCCGGGAACCGAGCCGGAAATGGGTTCTGGGTTGGGTTTGGTGCGCACTGCGTCGCGGCCTCTTCTTCCCCCCTTTGCTCTTCTTCGGACTCGACTAGGGCCTTTTCTGACGCGGGTTCCCGACCCCGTCTGCACCCGACCCATGCACGTGGCAAAGACACGGTTACTGCGCCTCGAGTGACCCCTGGTATTTTGTACGTAGGGATTGCAGCAATGTGCTTGAAAGTGGGGTTTTGGCATGGTTTGGGCATG